AGGAGGGCTTGGGGGATGCTTCCAGAGAAGGGGGTTCATTTAAATAAGGCTGACACAGAGCCAGGCATCTGCATCTTCTCACCTCCTCTCCCCCAAACCAGATGACTTCCGGATCTTCTGTGGGGACTTGGGCAATGAAGTGAATGATGACATCTTGGCACGAGCCTTCAGCCGCTTCCCATCCTTCCTTAAGGCTAAGGTGATCCGAGACAAGCGCACGGGCAAGACCAAGGGCTATGGCTTTGTCAGCTTTAAGGATCCCAGCGACTACGTGCGCGCCATGCGTGAGATGAATGGTGGGTGAGACCTCTCTTAGGGGCAGTGGGTGTGACCGGCATCTGGCCTGAGCCTGACCCCAAGCCTGACCCTGAGCCCTCCCTTTCCACAGGGAAGTATGTGGGCTCGCGCCCCATCAAGCTGCGTAAGAGTATGTGGAAGGACCGGAACCTGGACGTGGTACGCAAGAAGCAGAAGGAGAAGAAGAAACTGGGCCTGAGATAGGGTCTGTGGCCGGGCACCCGCTCCCTCCTGGCCGGGCGCTGGCTCTTCTCCCCGTTCTCTTTGGAAGATCCCCAACAATCCACTCACCACCTCCCCAAAACCAGTTTCAATAAATTTACGTTATTTCTGTCCTTGGCTGGGCTTGGAAGCACTCTTTGGGGAGCAGGGCTTGGCATCCCCCAACCTGGGAATAGTGAATAGTGGGAAGGTTTAAAAGTGTACCTAGACCAACATGCAGATGGGCATTTCCCATCCCTGCTGTGTGCCTGTGACATCTTCCAGAAGCCTCTTCCACAGAGGAGGAAGCCGAGGCTTAGAGCAAGGCCAAAACCAAGCTGACAGTCCAGTTGTCTTACGACCGCAGCCTGTGTTCTCAGCACCAAGGTAAGGGGCCTTCTGGGCCCTGCCCTTCTGGAGGTTACAGCCTTCCAGGCTTTCATCCTCTCAGCAAATGCCCCAAAGGCCTAGCCCGTGCTGGGGACGTGGTGACCGCAACAGTCTTGACCTCTGTTCCCTCAGAGCTCATGGCCCAGTGGCAGAACAGAGGCCCCTTGCCACACGGAGTGCTCAGGGTCGGGATGGCCGAGCCCAGGGTGCTGACCTGGGAGTCGGAGGGCTTCCTGACGGAACTGGCCACTTCTGAGTCTGTCCCATGCTCTTCCTGTCAGTCTCTAGTGTCTGCAGTTCTCACCCTCTGCATCCCTGAGACTATGCTCCAGTCTCCTCTCTGCCAAACCCCAGCCATCTCTCTGGCCATAGGTCTGTGTGGGCCCCCAAGTGTCTTTCCGTGTCTGTTTCCCTGCGAGTGTCTCTGTGAGTGCTCCTGTTTCTTGTCTCCAAGTGTATCTCTGAGTCTATTCTCTCTCTCTGCATCTGTGGCTCTCTCCTACCTCTCTCTTCCCAGCCCCAAGCTTGACCCTGCCTGGCTGAGGAAATGTCCAAGCAGGATCTTGAACACTAGACTAAGAGCTTAGACTTTACCTGAGGCAGCAGCAAGCCCTGAGAAGCTGGAAGCAAGTTCAAGCAGGGGACCGGCATCAGATTTGCACTTTAGAAAGAGCCCTGACATGGCCATGCTGTGGACCGTAGGTCTGAAGGAGGCTGGGGCAGGGACCAGGCAGAGGAGGGAGACTGCATGGTCCAAGCATGGGGAGGGGGTGAGGGTCTCCCAGGGGCAGAGCTAGCAGACCCCTGGGCTAAGTGCTGCCATGGGAAGAGGAAGCAAACAATGCCAAGAACCCTCTGGGAATCTGGTCGCCCAGGAGGGGTGTCAAATTTCTCCCGTTCCCGCCTTCCCCTCCTTATAGCTCCCCCTCTGACGTCACATTTTCCAGTCTGGTTAGAAGGGCGAGGGCCTCCCTCCCTCACAGGAAGTGTCCTTCAGCCCCCTGCCACCTGGGCTAGACAAGCCAGCACCAGGACCCTCAATCCCTACCCCCACATCACTAACCCTTCCTGTTCCTGACCCCCTTCTCACTTCAGTCACTGGAACAAGGGAAGAGATGGGTAGAGGGAATGAGTCCAGAAAGGAAGCTTTTAAATGTGTGCATTTAAGTCCTGAGGAAAGCTCAATGGTGGAGTTGAGAGCCAGATGGACAGCTGGAGAGATGTAGCAAGCAGAGATGGAGAGATGGGGAGGGAGACAGATGGAAGAGGTGAGAACTACAGGTGAAGGCAGTACGATGGGAAGGGAGATGGGGAGAAAACTGGAGAGAGGTAAGGAGGTAAGGAGAGAGATGGGGAGGGGCTGGGACTTAGCAGGAGCGACTGGGTGACCAGGACTCACTGGAGTCAGGCCTGGTGCAACAGAGACCCAGAGCTGGGGACACCAACTAGGGCAGAGAGCCATGGACAGACTGACACACAGACAGGAGGAAGGCCAGCCTCAGAGAGAGGAAGCCTGGGGCCCGCGGGAACAGCACGTTTAGGATATGCTTTGGGGCCCCGTGTTAGATGGTAGAGCAGTGATGCATGGGGGCTCTTTGCTCACCCAATGCTGGGGCCAATCCCATCCACCCACCCACTCTGTGACCTGGTAACTGGTTCTCCCTCTTAAGGCCCAGTTTCCCTTATGTAACAGGAACAGAAGAGCAGTGCCCACACCCCCATCCTCCCACCCCCAGAACACCAAATGGTTAATGATCAAGCAGGGTGAATATTGGAAATGCCCACGTCAAAAAGGTTCTTTTTAATGGTAAATACTTAATACATAAAGCAGGATAGGTAGGTATAACCATAGGCTCTGAAGCCAAGCTACCAGGGTTTAGGGTTACCAGATTTAGGAAATAAAACCAGGGGACAGGTCCACCTGGGTGACTCAGTTGGTTAAGCATTCCACTCTTGATTTTGGCTCAGGTCATTATCTCAGGGTCGTGAGATAGAGCCCCCAGTTGGTCTCGGCCCTCAGCAGGGATTTTGCTTCTCTCTTCCTCTTCCTTTGCCTCTCCCCCCATTTGTGTGAGTGCATGTGTGCTCTCTCTCTAAAATAAATAAATAGGGTGCTTGGGTGGCTCAGTGGTTGAGCATCTGCCTTTGGCTCAGGTTGTGATCCCGGGGTTCTGGGATCGAGTGCCACATCCAGCTCCTGGGAGCCTGCTTCTCCCTCTGCCTATGTCTCTGCTTCTCTCTGTGTGTGTCTCTCATGAATAAATAAATAAAATCTTTTTTAAAAATAAATTAATAATCTTTTAAAAATACAGAATGATGTGGAAAACAAAGGCAAAAGAAAAATTATTAAATTTCCTTACTACCTACAGCCCACTGACAAGTCCTTGAAACAGGCAGAGTGACATTCCACTAGGGACTCAACTCCCTTGACAGTCCTCCTTTTCTAAGGGTAAAAGGAAATCTTAGCTCAACCCCCAGGACCCAGTAAGTCTACTTTAACATATAAAAATTCCTTTGGAAACTTCCTTTATCTCTACCGTGCAAGATATATGTTGGCAATCATTCCCCCAGCATATACATCTGGAGGGTCTCGTGACTCAGGTTTCATTAGACAGTAATAAATGACCTCTTTCCAACAATAGCCAGCCCCCTCAAGGTCCTGGAAACCTTGCTTCCAAAACTCCTTAGAGACTTACACACTATCCCTAACCACCCCCCAACTTGAAAGTATATAATGACCCTGGTGCAGCTCTTTCTGTCCACAGGTCCTGTCCTTGTGCTTTAATAAAACCACCTTTTTGCACCAAAGACATCTCAAGAATTCTTACTTGGCCATCAGCTTCAAACCCTAACATCTTTCCTACATCACAGGACACCCAGTTAAATTTCAAGTTCTAATAAACAGCAAATAATTTTTAGTATAATTATGTCCCAATTATTGCATCTATGTATGTATGTATGTATGTATGTATATGTCACATGTGGACATGTGGGGGGGGGAGTTGCTGAATCACTTGAAATAACACTTTACCCCTAAATACCCCTAAATTCATTTCGTTGTAGAGATATCTTTCATACCATAATACCATAATCACATCTAAGAAAATGAATAATTCTGTATATCGTTCAGTTCATACTCAAATTTCCCCCATTTGTCTCAAACTATTATAGTATGGAAGGACAAGGATTCTGGAGATGAAGGGAAGTGGAAGGAAGTCTTCCATTTCGCCTTTCATAAAATGAAGACTGGTACCTACTTCATAAAAGAATTAAATGAAGGCCCATGGCACACAATGAGCCCTCAATAAACGTCAGCTACGGGAGTTACTGTGGTTATTGTTTACATTGTTGATGTTATCATGATTGACACTCCTCAAGAGCAGCCCCAGAACTTCCGCAAAGCCCTCGAAGGGGAGAACTCGGCCTGGTTGGGGATCCTGGGTCGGCGTCCCCCACCCCGCCCCTCTGTCCCTCTGCAGATTGTGACGTTGGCCGACCTGGGGTCTGGCCGGAAATCCCCCTTCCTGTTGCAGATAAGCCTGGCGCAGCCCAGCTGACCCCAGACCCTCCCCCCTACCCCCCATGTCGCAGGATCAAATCCCCAAGACGGAAAGCCTGTCCACCAAACCCCCTGCTCCACCCCCATCACCCCGTAAACAGCCTCCGCACCCCGGGTCTCTCACAGCCCGCTATTCCCCAAGCTCCTGTCCAAGTCCAAGCCACCCCTGCAGCAGGACAGCTGTAGCTATCGGGAGGCAGGCGCCCATCCCTGAGGTGTGTGTGTGTTGCGGGGAGTGGGCCCTTGGCTCCGCCCCAGGCCCTGCAACTCGACCCAGCTGCGACCCCCGGCTCTGACGTCTCGGAAAATTCTCCCCTGCCCAGGCCCCCAAGGGAGGGGGTACAGGGTATGAAATGGGGCTGAGACCCCTGGCCGGGGGACAGAGAAACCCGCCAGAGGTGAGCCATGAACCGGGGACTGGATATCTGGGGGCCTGGACTCCTGGGTCTGAGGGAAGCAAGGGCCGGGGCCCAGACTCCAGGGTCCCTAAGTGTCACCAGCTCACCCCTTGCCCTCTTTCTTCTGCCTCCCAGAACATTCCCGGGGAGCATCCATGGACTTGTGGAACTGGGATGAAGCGTCTCCGCAGGAAGTGCCCCCAGGGAACAGGCTGTCAGGGCTGGGTAGGCTGCTGGGGCTGCGTCGGAGTGTGCGGAGGGTCCACAGGTGGGGGCCCCTGTGACCCCGACCCGGCCCTAACCTCCTCTTGCCTGCAGACGGAGCTGAACTCGGCTTCTATTTCCCCGAACTGGTGCTCCCAGGGGACGCGCTGACAGCGGAGCCCCGCTGGAAAGGTGGCTGTGGGCAGGGACTCCAGGGAGCCGAGGAAGGTGAGGCTGCGCTCGGGGTCGGAGGGAGAAGGGGGCGCGCCGGGCCTCCCGAGGCTGAACCGGGAGAGGGCTGCCGGCTCCCATCCTGCGGCTGGAGAGGACAGGCCAGGGTCCTGAGTTCTAGGTGCCAGTGAGTAGCGGCTGGGGCTACCACCCAGTCCCTGACCTATAAGGACTGCTGGCCGAGGGGTGGAGGGGGCGTCTCCAGCCCTTGCTCACACCCTTCCCTAAGCTCTGCTCGCTCTTCTCCCTCGCAGGGCTCCCCCCGCCGGACTGGGGCTCCGCGTTACCGCACCCAGAAGCTCCGTGGGGAGCGGGTGAGTGTGTGCGCAGAGGCGGGGGCAGGAGGGGACTGGGGTCCTGCACTGTGGCTAGAGAATCTCCGAGGGGAACAGGGCTAGGACGGGAACGCCTGTGTCCCCGAGGTGACACGACCTAGATCCGGGAGACCAGGGTGCCAAGGCTGAGACTCCAAGAACCCCTGAGGGCGCCGGGGACCGGGATGCCTGGGCTCCCCTCACGTGGGGCCTGTTCCTTCCCACAGAGCCCGCCCCTCAGGATCTTCCGTGGTCGGGAGACTGGACAGACCCGGCGTGCACTGGCTTGGACCCCTGGAGCCGCGTCTCCCAGGCCCTGGGCCCCGCCCCTCCCGGCCTGGGTCCCGCCCCCTGCGCTGCGGCGGCGGGGGCTGCGGGGGCTGCGGGGACTGCGGGCCAGAACTGTGCCACCTCCGCGGGAGGGACCCACCCGTGGTCCTGCGCCCAGGCGGCGGCCGGCTCCACCAACTGGGACTGTTCTATTGGCCTCGACGGCCCCACCTACTGGGGCAAGGAACTCCCCGGGGGGCCCAGCGCGGACTCTACCATTTCGTGGGGTGGGCCTGCGGGCTCAGACTGCACCACGTCCTGGGGCTGGGGGCTGCAGGCGGACTGCACCACCTCTTCAGAGGGGTACCAGACTTCAGATCTCCCCTCGTCCTCCGAACCCAGCCAGCAGTCGGACCGCGTAACCTTGGCTTGTTACCCCAAAAGTAACCACCGAGGTGAGAGGTCCGCGGGACCCTATTGTACTGATGCGGGGCCTGGGCGCGGAGGGGCGGGCCCCGGGAGACCCGCAGTGAAGGTGCGAAGCTTAGCTACCTAACAGCCCGAGGGAGGCGGTGACGGTGGGTCCCTGGGGAGGAGAGGACTGAAACACTGGTAGTCTGATAGGGAGCAAGGGACCCGAACCCAGGCTCCTGGATGAGGTGAGAGGAAGAGGTGGGAGGGTCTGGATGCCTGGGTCACCGAGGTGCGGCAGCCAAAGTCCTCTACGTTTCCGAGATGGGGCCCCGGCTGCCTGGGTCCCTGGGGCCGCTTCTTGGGTTCCTCATGTGGAGGGATCCGGACTCTCTGGGCCCCAAGGAGGAGGGGATCTGGACTTCTGGCCCCCGGGTTGGGAAGGCCTGGACCCTTGGACCTTCATAGTGAGGGAGCCCGGCCACCTGGGTCACCGAAGGGACACGGCCTGGGGCCGGGAAGCCCGAGTGTTCACCTGCCCGCACTCCGCAGGTCCCATTCAGCTGTGGCAGTTCCTCCTGGAGCTGCTCCGAGACGGGCAGCGTAGCAACTGCATCCGCTGGACCGGCAACAGCCGCGAGTTCCAGCTGTGTGACCCCAGAGAGGTGGGGGAGCTTCCCAGCGCGCCCCCGTCCCGCCCCAGCCTCCTCCAGCTGGATGTAGCCGGCCCCGCCCCCGGCTCGTACCCTCGCGGCCCCGCGGGGAGTCACGCGCACCGACTCGCGTCCGGAACCGCCCCGGAGCCGCGCCCCCCATCCCCCCCGGCGTCCGTTGCCCCGCCCGGCTCCCTCCTGCCCCCTCGGACTCAACCCGACCTCTGTCCTAGGTGGCGCGGCTGTGGGGCGAGCGCAAGAGGAAGCCCGGCATGAACTACGAGAAACTGAGCCGAGGTCTACGCTACTACTACCGCCGCGACATCGTGCGCAAGAGCGGTGGGCGCAAGTACACGTACCGTTTTGGGGGCCGCGTGCCCGGCCTGGCCTGTCTGGACTGCGCGGGGGGTGGACCGGGAGGGGCGACCCAATAAAAATATCCCATCAAACCAGTCGTGAATGCTGCCTGCGTGCTTCCCACGGATACTAACTAAGCCCACGCTAGGGACCCTAAGTGTGCACTACACACTCACATCCCACCCCCAGCCCCCGCCTGTGTGAACCTAATTCAGGCCGAGATTAAAACACACTCAGACCCTTAGGGGATCCACTTGTGTGCTTCACTGTGTGATGGGATTTTCGAAGGAATCTACTCAGTCCCTACAGGGCCTACTGCGTGCCTGCCTGTGCTGGCACTCCTAAAGGAATCAGACCCAATCACTTTCAAGTTTACCTACTGTGTCTCTCCTGAAGAGATGACTCAGGACTCCAAAAAAACCAGTTTATGTGTGTCCTTCCAGTGCTTGGGACCATTAAGGACTTAGTGCTAGCGCTTGATCCCTGAAAGCACCTACTAATCTCTCCACTCGAAGCTGAGGGTGGAGAACTCTGATTTAGACTCCACGGAGAGCCTACCCCATTCTGGGAACCACTGAACCCTTAAAAGACTGGTCGTCCCATTGACTGACAAGATGCCCATTTTAAATATCTGGTTTGGGAAGGACTAAAGGTGACATTGAAGCAAAGACCGGAAGGAGGTGAGGGAGGGAGCCAGCTTCGGGAAGAGCTTTGCAGACCAAGGAGACAGCAAGTGCAAAGGCTCTTAGAGGGAAGTCAGCCTACACGTTCAAGCAGGAGGAGGCAGCGTGGCTGGAGCAGTGGGAGTAAAAAGAAGAATAGGAAAGGTATAAGAGGGACCAAAGTGTGTTGGTAAGGACTTTGGTTTTTGAGTGAAAGAGTCAGATAAGACCCGAGCGGAGGGTTCTAGGCCAAAGAAAAGTGATCTGAGGTGTTAACAGGTCCCTCTGGCTGAGTGGGTAATGGTGGAGGGTAGTAGGGAAGCCAGGAGGCCAGAGAGAGGGCCACTACAATAGCCCAGGCTAGAGATGCCTGTAGCTTGAACCCAACGTCGGAGAAAATTCTGGATATATTGCTAAGGCAGAGCCAACAGGATTTCTTGATTAACTGTGGGGTATGAGAGAGGAATACCTCCAGAACTAGAAGCATAAATGTGTCACTTTCCGAGTTGAACTAATTTCTGCCGGATCCAAGCTTTTATTCTTTTTTTTTTTTTTTAATTTATGATAGTCACAGAGAGAGAGAGAGAGAGAGAGAGAGAGAGAGAGGGAGGGAGAGGCAGAGACACAGGCAGAGGCAGAAGCAGGCTCCATGCACCGGGAGCCCAACGTGGGATTCGATCCAAGGTCGCCAGGACCGCGCCCTGGGCCAAAGGCAGGCGCCAAACCGCTGCGCCACCCAGGGATCCCCAAGCTTTTATTCTTAATCTCTCCTCTCTGTGGTGCGGGACTTTGGTTTGAGTCCTCGGGAACACAAATCTGTGTTAATTTGCGCTTTCTGAGACTTGGGGGAAGAAGAAGAGCGAGAAGGGGGGGGAGTTGGTACCATAGGGTCGCATAGAGCAGCGGGTTGGTACCATAGGGAGGAAGAGGGAGAGGTCGATGGCGTGACATCCACGCTGCAGCCCCAAGTACGGGGGTTCAGATTCCACCCCTGAAGCATCCTCCAGCCTAGGTGGCAGGAGCCGCCAAAACCCCTGGAAGGACACGGTGGGAACTGTGGGCCCCAGTGTGGACAGGACCTGGGCCCGGGCCCTTCGGAGTTCTCCAAAGCTCAAAGCACCCAACTGCATCCCCGCAAAAAAAAAAAAAAAAAAAAAAATCAATGTGACAAATGACCCTGGGAGAAAGGCTGGATCTATTTCAAACCCTTAACAACTGGTCCTGTAATAATCATAAAGAGCGTAAGGATTCTTGTGTTTTGTTTCGTGATGCTTCCCCAAGTTTCATAGAAGTACCCGGCACAGGGTAAGCATTCAATAAGTAATTCCAGCCTGAATAAGGATACCTCTGCTGGGATATTTTCCCCTCTCCCCAGGCCCACTCTACACCTAGCCCCAGGACCCAAAACTCCTTCCCCTGGTGAAAACAGGAAAGTGATGAGAACCTGTAACCGCGCATCTCAAACCCCAGTTCGGACCTTCGGAGCCCGGAGTCCACGCAGGCTCACGATTGGGCCGAGGGCGATGATGAACAGGCATCCAGCCCAATAGGAGCTTGGAGTTCCCGGGTGGGCGTGGCCTCTACGGCCTCGGGGCTGGCCTCCCGGCGGGCGCTCGGGCGCGCGGAAGACGCCCCTTTACCCCGCTTCCCCCTGCTTCCGGCCGCTCTTAATTCCGCTTCCGGTCCGACTCTGGCGTCTTTGCTGAGGGTCACATTGAGCTGCGAGGTGCTGCAGGGGTGTCTTCAGGTGAGTGTGGAGGGCTGGGGAAGCCGGGGCCCTGGCCTGGGGTACTGAGGAGCCGGACCCTGGTTTCCCCGAGGACGCAGTGAGTTTCCGGCCGGCGGGTCCTTGGCGTCCTGTTCTTGTTCGTGGCCCTAGCTGGCGATTATGGAGCTCTTCCTTAATGCCAGCTAACGTTTCGAGCGACCTTTTATTAACTCGTTTCATCTTCCCTCCAGCCCTATGGGGTGGGGCCTGGGATGATCCCTTTTTGACGGTGGAGCCGCTGAAGCTCAGCGACATCGGGCTATTAAGGCAGCGACCAGGGTTTGGATTCCGTGGTTTGGACTGTCGTGCCCTCAATCACCAGGCCGCAGGCGTGGCCTCCCGTGGCTGGCCCCGGGCCGCAGCCGGGCTCCCTGGTTTCTGGTCCCTCCTCCCGCTTGGACTTTGGAGGACCTCAGAGTCCTCCCTGATCTCCCCGCAAAACAACTCTCCCGAGCAAATCTGTGTCCCAGCTCTGGCGTTCTACGTCCCCCTTCCTCTACCCCTCTAGGATTTCCCCTCCCCAAAGACTACTGTGGGGCCCCAGATGTCCACCACTACCTTGGGTCCCTTGAATTTAACACTGGCCTGCTCACTTCTTTGTAACCCCGTTACTTTTCGAATTATCTGGAATAGAGGCAGTTTCACCTTCCCTGGTGAAAACTGCGCGTCACCCGCGGAGGTTTTTAACTCTGGGCCTGCAAAATCAATAGACTGCAAGGTGTGCTAGTACTTGAATGGGGGGGGGGGTGTTACATCTGTGTTTTTCTTTCTTTTTTTTTAATATTTTTATTTATTCATGAGAGAGACAGAGAGAGAGGGAGAGGAGGCAGAGACACAGGCAGAGGGAGAAGCAGGCTCCATGCAGGGAGGCCGATGTGGGATTTGATCCCAGGTCTCCAGGATCACGGCCTGGGCTGAAGGAAGGCGCTAAACCGCTGAGCCACCCAGGGATCCCACATCTGTGTTTTTCTTAATCTGGAGTTAAAATGAAGCATTTCCTTCAGGAATGGAGGCAACAGTCTTAATAACATTAGCGTCACCTGTGACTTTGTCAGCATTCAAAATTGCAGGTCATCTTATATCACATTGTGGTTGCACATGTCACAGAATACATTTTCATTGACAATTACTTCAAAATTGTGGCAGTCGGTAAATCCTCAGCTACATGGAATGGAACTGGTTTTCTTGGTGATCCTATGAGGTTTTCAAATGTCTTTAAAAGTATTCTGGGAGAGGGGTCGTTAGACCCCTGAGGAGTTCATGGCACCAAAGAGATGAACCTCTGCGGTGTAGATTCTGTCAATGACTGGGTGCAACTCCGTTTTTGTGACCTTGGGAAGTCACATAGACACCCTGTGCCTTGTCTGTGACACAGTGATAGTAATAGTTCGTACCTTTTAGAGTGGCTGCAGGAGTAAAGTATAGAACGACGCTTGGCCTATATTAACTACTCAGTGAGTGTTAGCTAGTGTTCTTTTGGGATGAATAAGGCCTGATTTTGCTAAGGAGTTACCCCCTCCACCAAGTCCTGCTGTGATGGCCACACTTTGATGTGCAGATTTGCCCCACCCTTCACCTCTGTGTGTACATGTTGACAGGGAGAAAGTGCTGGCTTGTTCACACCTTTCTACTCTCCTTTGTGTGTTTTGCGGGGGGGGGGGGGGGGAGCTGACATCCCCAGGCCCCCTAGAACTTTTGCCAACATCCACTCTCTTTGCCTCCAAGAGTCCGCACCATGGCAGAAGACATCAAGTCCAAAATCAAGAACTACCAGACTGCCCCTTTTGACAGCCGCTTCCCCAACCAGAACCAGACTAGGAACTGCTGGCAGAACTACCTGGGTAAGCAGGGCATAGGGGTGGGAAGGGATGCAGAACCTTTTCCTGGTCCCACACTCAAGGTTGCTTACCTGTTTGTCCACTCCTAAGGCATCTGTACATCCCAGGCCTCTATTTTATTCTGGACATCCTACCTTGCAGGGCCCATGCCCCTTATCACAACTGTGCTTGAGGTCCAAGATCTGGGCCAGGGTCACAAACTTTGGTTTCTACAAGGATATATATATATATTTATTTATTTATTTAGGATTTATTTGTGTGTGTATGAGACAGATGTTAACATACGTACAGGAAATACATAAAACATAACATACAGCCAAATGAATAATGCTAAAGTGAATCCCCTGTATACCTATATAATCTGGATAGGAAATTAGGTACTGTCGGTATTCCGATCTTCCTTGCCCACTGTATGCCGTCTTATTTTTTTTTTTTTTATTTATTTATGATAGTCAGAGAGAGAGAGAGAGAGGCAGAGACACAGGCAGAGGGAGAAGCAGGCTCCACACACCAGGAGCCCGACGTGGGATTCGATCCCAGGTCTCCAGGATCGTGCCCTGGGCCACAGGCAGGCGCCAAACCGCTGCGCCACCCAGGGATCCTGTATGCCGTCTTAAACACAACATCCCAATCTCCGCTCAAGAGATGTCACCCTGCCAACTTAAGGCAGTCACATTTTATCACTGCTTTTAGGTTTGCCTCTTGATGAACATTATAAACACTGTATATATTCTGTTTTATTTGGATTTCTTCATTCAGTTTTGAAGATTGATCCTTGCTGTGGCGTATAGTTTGCTCGTTTTCTTTCTGTATGGTTTTCCATAATTTATTCTCAGACACTTAGAGAGTTGCCAGTTCAGGGCTTTTATGAATGATGATGTTATAAACGTTCTTATAAATGTAATTTGCCGTCCATGTGAATGCTTCTCTGTGTAGGGAGTGTGCCCTGGAGTGGAATACCTGGAGAATTTTTCTTTTTCTTTTTTTAAAAAATTAATTGCCTACTTTAAAAAGCCAGATTATCCCCTTCCTGTCCTCTTCTGTAGGAGCCAGCATCTTAGCCTCAGGATCCTCTTCCCCTTCCCTCGCCATGGGTTTGGACTTCCATAACCCCTGCATGTGCCCTTCATGTTCCTCCCTCATTCCAGACCCCAGGATCTTCAAGTCAAACAGTAGTTCTCTAGGGTTTGCAAAATCACCTTGGTGAGGCCTGCCTAGCCCTTTTCAGTACACTAGGAATAGACATTCCTCTTGACACTTGTTTGTGTGTGTTTGTGTGTATATAACTGGTTGTGAAGTAAAGATGATTTCTGTGAATTTTGATCAAAAATATGTTCCAGCCCTTAGTCAGGGCTGACCTTGAACCACTCTCTCCACAGACTTCCACCGCTGTGAGAAGGCAATGACTGCTAAAGGGGGTGATGTCTCCGTGTGCGAATGGTACCGGCGAGTGTACAAGTCCCTCTGCCCCATATCCTGGGTATGTGCTGCCTCCAGGCGATCTTGGGACACTGGGATGGGGTCTTCACGGAGACGAGTGTGGTAACTTAGCAGGGGCTCATCTGGGACCAGCAGAGGAAGGACAGGGTGTTGCGGTGTCCATGGGACTCAGCCCTGTCTTCTCTCTGGAATTGCCTTCCCTCTTTTCAGCGATACTCTCAACCAGTCAGGGCTCTTGGCCAGGGCACCCAGTGTCCTCTCCTTGCTGCATCTATCCCACCCATGCACTCTACAAATAAATACACAGTGCTGGCTCCTTGTCCCTGTGGGGTTCACCGTCTTGTGCAGTTCTGTGCCTTTTTATTCACATTTTCAAGTTATACATAAAGGTAGAATAATTCAGTGACCCCCAGTTATACCGACTACTTAGACACACAGCCTGTAAGGCTTTTAGCCCTAATCTGACCAGACTTTTTGTCACCATTTAGTAGTCTCTGTTACACACTTTTTCAAAAAAAGAATTTATGTTTAATGTACTGTTTCATCAAAGCAAAGATCCCATTGACTCCAAGAAACATTGAGAGATGGTCAACTCTTTTTCTAAAATGCCAGAAATGAGTGTAACCAGCTTGCTAATTTCAGAGATGTTAAAATGAAAAAACCTTGTGTCTTAGAATCAAAATATGATACTATTACAAAAGTCACAGTGCTCATTTAAAAAACAAAAAATGGGCAACTGGGTGGCTCAGTCAGTTAAGCATCGAGTTTTGATTTCGGGTCAGATCATAATCTCAGGGTCGTGGGATGGAGCCCAACACATGCTCAGCAGGGAGTCAGCTGGTGAGTCTCTCTCTCCCCCTACCTGGGCCCCTCCTCCTGCTCATGCGTGCGTGCTCTCTCTCTCCCTCTCTCTCTCTCTGTGTATGTGTCTCAAGTAAATCTTTAAAAACAAAAAATGGGAGCAGAAAACAGTAGAGCAGTAAAAAGTAGAAACCTTCCCCCAGCCCCCCTTCTCTGAGGTAACTACTGTTAGCTGATTACTTTTTTCTCTATGTAAACTAATCATACAGAAACCTGGGGAGCTATCTGGATGAGTGGGTCATACTATATAGTCTTTGACTGCTTTGATTTATCAGTGTGTTTTGGAGTCTTTTTTTTTTTATAATAATGCATATAGATCTGCCTTACTTGCTTTGGTAACTTTCATATGCTTTTATTTAACTGATTCCCTTTTGACAGAGCTTATATTCTAATTTTTTCAGTATATTTGTAGCATCCTTAATATATGCCTTTGGAGCTTATTTCTTGAGAACAAATTGCCTTATTGCAGTCTCCCTCAGCTTGCTTGGTTTTCCCTCCACCTCTCAGGCCACACTGTCTCAAGTGTCTTTGAGTGTCCTTTGCCCTTCCAGGATTTCCCCTTGTCCCTGGGTGATTTGAGTAACATGATGGTGTAAGTACATACTATCCCTTCTCCAGCCTCAGAGCCTGCATTGGGTGCCTGCTGGACAGGGTGCCAAGAAGCATGCTTCCAGTCCTGGTGCTGCCCTACACCCATTCTCCAGGACTTGGGCCTGCCCTTTCCTTGAGAGCATCAAATTGTGTGGTTCCTGCTCTCAGGTGCCTGCAGTATCCATCTACCTTGTTAGGGCTTATAAATGTATTCTGCAAAGCCCCCTTTATACTGGCTGCCCTGACTTCTTTATTTCAAAAACGTGGTGAGGTGAAAATAAGTGGGTTGTTTTGTTTTGTTTTGTTTTTAAAGATTTTCTTTCTTTATTGATTTGAGAGAGAGAAAACATGAGCAGGGGGAGGGACAGAGGGAGAAGCAGACTTAGCAGGGAGCTGGATGTAGGGCTCCATCCCAGGACCTGAGCCAAAGGCAGATGCTTAACCCACTGAGTCACCCAGGCACCCCAGAATAAGTGTTTTGTTTTTGCTGTTATTTTGTTCAATTATAAGGAATATAACTACTTCACAAAAACTTAAAAACTAGAGGAAGGGCAGAAAAATATTCCTTATTCTTCTGATAATATCATAGCATCTTCCAGGTATTTCTTGTGTATTATTTTTAATCAGTCTTAGATTCCAGTATGTGCATTTGAGTGGGGTCATCATGGGAGTTCAACACTTTTCCTATATGAGCATTTAAAACATTTTTTCCAAGCGTCTTTTATTTTCTGATTTAAAAAATCTTGAGTATCAGGGTGTTTGGGTGGCTCAGTTGGTTTAAGCATCTGCCTTTGGCTCAGATCATGATCCCAGAGTCCTGGGACTGAGGCCTGCTTCCTGCTCTCTGCCCAGTGGGGAGCCCGCTTTTCCCTCTCCCCCTGCTTGGGCTTGTTCTCTATGTTAAATATATAAATAAATCTTTTAAAAAATCTCAAGCTTCTCCGTGAACAAACAACATTGACTTTTGTGGAATCTTCCAAACAAAAGCTTTATATAATGTAGAAAGCAAAAGCCCCCTACTCATCCACTTCTGAGTCCTGAAGTTAACTTTTAGTCATTTGGTATAATTCTTTCACTTCCTTTTCTGTGTGCTGATGTATGTGTAGGTGTGTGTTTATGTGCTTTTTAATTTTGATATGGGTCATACTCTTGGTACTGTTTTATGCTTTGATTTTTTACTTACCACGCATTTTATATCTATTTATATCTTAGTATAATCAGCTCACTTATTGAGTAGCCACTATCTTTAATAGTTATAGTTTCTTCCCCTTTATAGCTAGATTCCATCTTTTTTCACTTTTTAATTTTTAAAAAATATTTATATTTTTACTTGAGAGGGAGAGAGGGTATGCACCACCCACACAGGAACAGGGGGAGAGAGAGAATCTCAAGCAGTCCTTCCGTTGAGTATAGAGCCTGACACAGGGCTCAGTCTCACGACCCTGAGATCATGACCTGAGCCGGAACCAACAGTCAGACGCTTAGCCAACTGAGCCACCCAGGTGCTCCCTTTATCACTTTTTTAAATGACACTTGAGTGTACAGTTCTATTGCAGGAAATGTTTTCTCCCTCTATTTGAATGGTTTCCTGAGTTTCCATTCCATGAAGCGGCATTATTGGGCAAAGGAAAATTTGCAAAGGATCAGACCAGCCTGATCTCTTTAAAAAGAGAGATGGAAAGGTAAACCCAGCGAATGAGAAATTCACATATAGAAAACTGTAGACTGTGGACAGTACAAGTCCAGTATGAGGGAATCCAGACATGAAAAGATGTCCATCCCCACTCAAGTCACCAAGAAAACACAGCTGAAAACAACAGAGAGATGCTTATTTCTACCTTGCAGTCTGGTGCAAGTTTTATAAAGGTTGATAGTGCTAAACATTAGTGTTTCTGTAAATTGAAGTTATTTTGGTAGGATCTTTCAAAATGGAATAAAAGATCTCCAGATGTGTCAGTTTTTACATTTGGACATCCTACAAAGATGCTCGTGTACAAAGATGTCCATTGCAGAGTTGTTTGTAATGAGGAGCATTCAGAAACAACCCAGTTAGATAAATGGTGGTACATTTATTTTGATCTATGCGACAATACAGAAAGAGCTCTAAGACTTGTGGAAAAGGCAAGTTGTAGGACAGTCTATATCGTAGGGACCAATTTGTACATATGTTTTTCAAAGTAGAGAATATTTGTGTGGTGGTGATGGTGTGTGTGTGTATAAATAGGCACCTATGTGGCACTTAACCGTGGGCCAACTACTTTGTAAGCCCTTTATATTCTGTAAGGGCAAACATGCTAAAAAATGAGATGAGATGGATACTATTCTCACTGTCCTCATTTTACACAATTAAAAACTAAGGCCCTGAGATGAGCACTGGGTGTTACATTATATGTATATGTTGGCAAATTGAATTTAAATAAAATTTTAAAAACAAAAAATAAACTAAGGCCCTGAAAGGCTGAGTGATTTGCCCGAGATCACACAGCTAGGAAGTGATGGAACAAGGATTCCGATTTTCTTCCTTAGTCATGCTGTTGTCTACTGCCTCTAATATATGGCATATAAATGTGAGTATATGTCTAACTGGATGTGCTTCGGAGTGCCTGTAAGAAGGTGCACAAGTTGTAGTGTGTTACTTCTGGGGAGTGTTAACAGTTGGATATGGGCCTTTTCATCACTGTTTCTATATACATGTATCTGATCAACAGTAGGATCATACTCTATATTCAGTTTTGTATCTTTTGCCTCTGACTGTATCTTGGAAATCCATTTATGCCAGAGCACAACCTCTTTCTTTCCCTCACAGCTTCCTAGTATTTCTTCCTTCCTTTATTCTGACAAACATTGAGTATTGATTCTGGGGTTCCTGACAGGGCACAGTCATACTTTTTGAGTCTCTATACAGCCCTACATCTCCCCAGGAACAGCCCCTGCAGTGAATGTGGGATTTATATATACTCTCCACCTCTCACCCCCTCAGTGGGTCAGTTCATTCAGGACAGTGATTCTTATCTTTCTGGAGTCACTGCTGATTCCCCCACTCCTGGAACAGTGGTGGTGCTGGGCTTGACCGACTGAACAGGTAGGCAGAGTGAGGATGAGGAAGACAGAGTCTACCCCTCTGGTTTCCCCACAGATGAAGGAAGTAATGTTGGCTGTCTTTCCGCAGGTGTCGGCCTGGGATGACCGCCGGGCAGAAGGCACATTTCCTGGGAAGATCTGAACTGGCTCCACCCACCTCTCCTCTGTCCTCCATCCTTCTCCCAGGGTGGTGAAGGGGGACCTGGGTACATGGTGATCCCCACCCTGGGATCCTGAATCATGGCTTAACTAATAATAAATACTCGTTAGAAAAGTGTAAGACTGTGTATGTGTAAAACAACTGGGTGATTGGGCAAGAAGCTGGGATGGAAATGAATACCTTGACTAATAAGAGGGACTTCAGGGGGATTGTTTTTTTCTTTTTTTGCTTTGCTTTATGTTACTAAACTGACCACCTTCTCTATACCAGACGGTATAGTGAGTGATTATAGCCTCAGGCCCCTGTGCAAAAATTTATCTGTATGTTCCCCTTCATTATCTATACAATTTCAAAAAACTTTTCTTACGTAATTTTTGAACCACATGGAAATAGTATAATAAAAATTGGGGATCCCTGGGTGGCTCAGTGGTTTAGCGCCTGCCTTTAGCCCACCACATGAACCTAGAGTCCCGGGATGGAGTCCCACATCAGGCTCCCTGCATGGAGCCGGCTTCTCCCTCTGCCTGTGTCTCTGCCTCTCTCTCTCTGTCTTGAATGAATGAATGAATGAATGAATGAATGAATGAATGAATGAATAAATAAATAAATAAATAAATAAATAAATATTTTAAAAAATAAATAATAAAAATTAAAATTGTGTACCCATCACCTAGCTTCAACAATTATCAACAAATGCCCAACCAGTTTCATCTCTAATTATTCCCCTCCCCTTCTAGGTGATTTTAAAGCAAAACCTGGGGATCATATGCTATCCAGAAATAAGTAAGTATATGTATCTCTTAGAATTAGAGGTTTATTTTATGCATAATTAACACTACCATTATTATGTCTAAGAAATTAACGCCAATTTTTTTGCCATCTAATTAGCAGTTTCCTGTACGATGTGTAATTTCTCTGTTCTGGACCTCCTCTTATATGTTCTCGTAGTGATTATTAGAAGTCATTTAACTCGGGATCCCTGGGTGGCGCAGCGGTTTGGCGCCTGCCTTTGGCCCAGGGCACGATCCTGGAGACCCAGGATCGAATCCCACATTGGGCTCCCGGTGCATGGAGCCTGCTTCTCCCTCTGCCTATGTCTCTGCCTCTCTCTCTCTCTCTCTGTGTGTGACTATCATAAATAAATAAAAATTTAAAAAAAAAAGTCATTTAATTCGATCAAGTTAAAAATGTTCTTTCTTGCTACCCCAAGAGGAATTGCCACACAGTGATAGTCCAGAACATCATCCACCAGACCAATCAGCATAACTAGACAGAGCACTAGGTTGTGGCTGGATTGGTGTTTCCTCAAGACTACTTAAATGGTTGAGAGACAGACTTACCCAAAGCATTTGCAGGTGAGCAGCGAGATGATTCTTGTATTGAGGGAGAATGGCCCTAGGGAGGGATCTTCTGAAATGGCTGCTTCTGAGGAGGAGGGGCTCTACATAGAGGACCCTTATACATGTCCAGGGACTCTGAGCAACTGTCGAAGCTTCTTCTATTTCCTGTCTGACCTACCACTTCTTGTTTGCTCCTTCAGTTCCTGCACACTGGCCTCTTCAGGGTGACAGGAACTGTGTGAGCAAATGAGAAGTGTTAGCATACACCAGATTGGCTCCAACCTCAGGGCCTTTGCATTTTCTGTTTGCCCTGCCTGGAATGCCTTTCCATTAGATAGCCCCATGACTCTCTCTTCAGGTCTTCCTCAAATATAACTCAGGCTTCCCCTGACCACTCAACCTACCATTTCAACTCCATACACATATTGCAGCCCTTCACTTCTTTCATTCCTGAAGCACTAAACCACTAATATTCCCTGTATTTTACTTAATTCATCCTTGATAATAGCCCTGACACACACTAGAATGTAATTTCTTTTAAGGAATTAACTTTTTTTTTAATTTTTTTTTAAATTTTTATTTATTTATGATAGTCACAGAGAGAGAGAGAGAGGCAGAGACACAGGCAGAGGGAGAAGCAGGCTCCATGCACCGGGAGCCCGATGTGGGATTCGATCCCGGGTCTCCAGGATCGCGCCCTGGGCCAAAGGCAGGCACCAAACCGCTGTGCCACCCAGGGATCCCTAGAATGTAATTTCTATGAGGGCAGGATTTTTTGAAATACACATTCCCTCTTTCAACATTTTATTATGGAAAATTTCAAGCATACAGAAAAAATTGATAGTCCGTACAGGTGCTGTCATACCCACCACCTTGGTTTATTGTGTCATATTTACTTTGTGTGTACACGTTTTTTACTAAACTATTTAAAAGTACAGTTGCACCTCAAGCAAAGCAAGGATTAGGAGCATCAACTATCCATGTATATATTTTTTTAAATCCACATACAACTTGACTCCCTACAAACTTAACTACTAATAGCCTGTGGCTGAGTAGAACCCTTACTGGTAACAGAGTTGATTAACAACTATTTTCTCTGTTATATGTATTATATACTATTAAAGTAAGCTAGGGAAAAGAATGTTAAAGTCATAAGGAAGAAAAAAGACTTTTAGAGTACTGTATGTGTATGTATTGAAAAAATCTGCTTGTAAATGGACCCATGCAGTTCAAACATCTATTATTCAGGATCAGCTGTAGTTTCCAAACACCTTGACACTTCACTCCTAAATACTTAAGTATGTATCTCTGAAAAATGACATGTTCCTTCATACCATTATCACTTCTTTTTTTAAATTATTTATTTATTTACTTGAGAGATAGCAAGGGGAGAGTACAAGCAGGGAGGAGAGGGAGAAGCAGGCTCCCTAGGAGCAGGGAGCCGCATGTGAGGCTCAATCCCAGGACCCCAGGATCCTGACCAGAGCCAAAGACAGACGCTTAACCGAGCCACCCAGGTACTCTGTCACTTCTAAGAAAAACTAACATTAATTCCCTAATGTCTGATATTCAGATTTCCCAAATTGTGCCCCAAAAGTCTTCTATACTGTTGGGTATGTTTTGTACCAGGATCCAATCAGGGTTCAAATTCTGCATTGTTTTTTTAGGTGTCTCCTGTTTTTTAAATAGTACAGTAGCACCCAGTGCTCCACCGCTCCTGCTCTTATAAGATGGGATTTTTTTTTTAAGAGGCCAGGCCAGTTGTCTTGGGGAATGTCCCCCACTCTGGATTGGCCTAATAACTTTCTCATGGTGTCATTTAGCTGCTCTGTTTTCTGTAGTTCTTAAATAGTGGAAGTTTTCTCTAAAGGCCTGATTAGATGCAGGGTGAGTACTTTCTGCAAGAATCTTTCCTGTGTATCTTCCTTCTTGCTTCTCATCAGGAGGTACCTGATGCCAGGTTGCCCCAATAGTGATGGCCACCAGCTCTCTCCTTCAGAACGAGCTCTCTTCCCTTTCTATCATTGACAAGTGACCTGTGCGGTGGTTCTAGAACGAATGGTTCTGCCGTGGCACCCCTGCAACTTTACACATCTCCACATAAGCCCCACAGGGAAAAACTTAACCTGTGGACCAGCCCGAACTGTGGCAGAAGGCCTGGTGAGTCCCCCTGAAACCAAGGGAGAGGAGCAGTCTTGTGAAGAGCTGCCGTGAGGCAGTTTCTCATCCATCTCTGTCTCTTGCGGGAGACTGCTGCAAGGCCCTTTCTCATCTCCCTCTCCTGTCAGTACTTTCTTCCTCATTCCTCCTTAGGGTATAAACTGCAAGCTATAAAACTACTCTGAAGCTTCCGTGCTGAGCACCTTACCTGCCCTAACTCCAGCCTTCTAACAACTCAAGCCATATTTTGTTATGACTCCTATTTTACAAGCGGGGAAGCTGCCACTTGCAGCCATCTGCTGGTTTGTGTGGCAGTGGGTTTCCTTAGTGTATCTGTATCAGAGGGTTCAGTGCAGAAAACGGAAACCTCCCAAGGCATATGAAATAGAGACTTAATATGAGCAATTTGGGTATAGCGAAGTTGGACATAGTATCGTACCTCTATTTCATTATATTCAACTCAGCATAAGCCAGCATTTTACAGGTTTCAACGCAGCTTTGCAATAGGGTTTTGCATTATCTTAAAAAAATATATCCAGGGGTGCCTGGGTGCCTCGGGTGGTTAAGTGTCTGACTCTTGGTTTTGGCTCAGGTCATGGTCTTAGCACAGATGCTGCATGAGATTCTCTCCCTCTGCACCCACCCCCTTGCTCATGAGCGCTCGTGCTCTCTAATAAGTAAAATCTTTAAAAAAAAAAAAATGTGTCTGGTATTGTCACCTTGAGCGGGGCAAGCACTGTGGTCTGAGCAGGGGCAGTGGGAGCGCAGACTGACAATGCAGACCACTGGGGCACTATTCATTTCTCCAGCTCTAATCTGCTGTTGTACTGGGGATCTAATAGGCCAGAGGTCCCATCTAAACAGCCACCCTAAAGCAGCTCCCCACTCCAGGTGGCCTGACGGGAGTTCCAGACCAGTGTTGTCTCCTGGGACATTGACGTAGCAGCCAAGTTTATTGGTGCTGGGGCTGTCACAGCTGGTGTGGCTGGTCCAGGGGCTGGCAGTGGAACAGTGGTTGGCAGCTTGATTATTGGCTCTGCCAAGAACCTGTCTCTCAAGCCGCAGCTCTTTGCCATTCTGGGCTTTGCCCTGACTCAGCCATGGGGCTCTTTGATGGTCTCCTTTGCCATCCTTTTCGCCATATGAGGCTCCATGGGGTTCACCTACCTGTCCCTGTTTCTTCAACTTCAGGCCATACCTGGTGTTAAAGCGTGCCAAGCTTTACAATTAAACATGTTTCTCTAAGAAAAAAACAAAAAAAAAAAAACAAACTGGTATTCAGCTAATAAATAAAGACGAAAAGAAAGAATTAAAATATCAGCGTATTTTGCAACCCCTAATGAGTCTAAGCATGATGTCTGTGGCTACAAACATCACCAAAAGAGAGACAACCAAATATGTGCTTCCAGATGGAAGTACTCATCACTAGTCATGAAAAGTTTTACCAAAATAATCAAACCTGAATCTGATCAAGCTTCTAGATTCAACTTCTGATTCACAGGAATTTTAGAGGACGGTGGAACATGTTAAACTGCGTCACAGGAAACAACTGGAAAAAACCTAGATTCTGGAAAACCCTACAAGAAAAATGACCTACATTTTCTTCAGTAAGTGCACTATTGATGCAGGAAAAATGGTAGGAGAGAGTTAGAGGAAGACCATATAGATTAAAAGAAATCTAAGAGATAAATATTTGGGGACGCCTGGGTGGCTCAGTGGTTGAGCGTCTGCCTTCGGCTCAGAGTGTGGTCCTGGAGTCCTAGGATCGAGTCCCACATTGGGATCCCTGCATGGAGCCTGCTTCTCCCTCTGCCTGTGTCTCTGCTTCTCTCTCTCTGTGTGTCTCTCATGAATAAATAAAGTCTTTTAAAATAAAAGATGTATATTTGGATCCTAAATGAAGCAAACTGCAAAAGGATTTGTTTTTTTTTTATTATTATTTATTTTTTATTTATTTATGATAATCACAGAGAGAGAGAGAGGCAGAGACACAGGCAGAGGGAGAAGCAGGCTCCATGCACTGGGAGCCCGACGTGGGATTCGATCCCGGATCTCCAG